TCTCTCTCTTCTCCTCTCCCCTCCCCTCTTCTCCTCTCCTCTCCTCTTCCCTTCTCTCCTGTCCTCTCCCCTCCCTGCTCTCCTCAACTCCTCCCCTCTCCTCCTGCCCTCTCCTCTCCCTCCCCCTGTTCTTTCTCCCCTCCTCCACACTCCTTCCTCCCTTCTCTCCTCCTCCCTTCCTCTATCCCTCTTTCCATCCAGATGTGTCTTTGTTTAGACTTACTGAGGACTTTGGGCTCAGTCCCAAACTTTACTTCAGCCCTCTCTGGGTGGAGAGATATGACAGAGACTCTCTGCCATTGATAACACAAGAGGGTGTGGAAGCTTGGGTGGACTTTAGCTTTTATCTTATGTGTTTTCCTGCATATAAGTAAAAATGAGGTGGCTGCAGAGACAGCTCAGCAGTGAAGAGAGCTTGCTGCCCTTCTAGAGGACCTGAGTGTGGTTCCCAGCAACCCTGTGAGGTGGGGCACCACCTGTAACTCCGGCTCCAGTTTCTTGGGGTTCATCATCCTCTCTGACTTCTGTAGGTATCTGCACCCTTGGCATATGCACAGGCATGCATCCTCACCACTGAAAATACAAAATAAATCTTTAAAGAAATAAAAATGAGTAGGCTGTGAGGGAACCAAGTCCACAGGGGAGAGGAAGAATGAACTGCCCAGGTACTCAGCAGTCCTCGCCCAGAAGCCACTGAATGTGGTACTTGCTACCCTCCTCAAGCTGTATCCACTGCAACATACACTGGCACCTTTGGTGAAAGGCCTGGCAACCTTGATGAAGTTCCAGAACACAGTACCTGGTCAGACAGTCAAAGATGCCAGCCCGAAGCCAGTGGCCTCAGACTGAGGACAGGAGAGTTCCTGGCTGCTGCTAACAGCCAGGCAAGCAGAGGGCAACCCCTCAGTGGAGGCTTCTCTAGTGAGCCCAGTGTTCCGACTCCTGTAGAGCACCTGCATCTGGCTGCAACCTGCTGCTTAGCTGTCTGTCCTGCTAGACTGCAGCTACACAAGCCATCCTCCCCCAGCCTGTGTTTGCACAAGCAAGTCAGGGATGGAGTACACAAACACGTATTCAGTGTTCACGCTGGTTTTTTAAAGACGGGGTCTCACTGGTCTGGAACGTGCTCTGTAGACTATGCTGGTCTTGAACTGACAGAGATCTCTCTGCTTTTGCCTCTGGAGTGCTCTGATGAAGAACATGTGATACCACACCTGCCCCTACATATTGACTTATAATAATAAGGTTTTTGTCTTGTGTTATTTGTTCTTGTGGTACTTTTTACTATTATTTAGAGATTTATTTTTTTAATTTACTTATTTTTATTTTATGTGCATTGGTGTTTTGGTCTGGGTGTCAGGTGCCCTGGAACTGGAATTACAGACAGTTCTGAGTTGCCATGTGTATGCTGGGAATTGAACCAGGGTCCTCTGGAAGAGCAGAGCAGTCAGTGCTTCTAGCCACTGAACCACCTCTCCAGCCCCTAGAGATTGATTGATTGATTGATTGATTGATTTTTAGTGTTTTTGAGACAGAGTTTCTCTGTGTAGTTTTGGTGTCTGTCCTGGATTTTGCTGTGTAGACCAGGCAGCCTGGCCTCAAACTCACAGAGATCCCCCTGGCTCTGTCTCCTGAATGCTGGGATTAAAGGCATGTGCCACCACCGCCCAGCCTAGATTTATTTTTATTTAATTAAGAAACATGTAGCTGAGTGTGGTCGTTTAAATGTAATTCGCCCCTAAATTCCCATAATCTCATAGAGAGTGGCACTATTAGGAGGTGTGGCTTCGTTGGGGTGGGCATGAGCTTGCTGAATGAAGTGTCTCACTGTGGGGCAGGCTTTGAGGTTACCTATGCTCAGGATACCGTCTAGTGTCTCAGTCAACTTCCTGTTGCTGTCTGATCAAGATGTAACGAGCACCACATCTGCCTGCATGCTGCTCTGCTCCTTGCCATGATGATAATGGGCTGAACCGTAAACGAGGGCTCCCAATTGAATGTTTTCTCTATAAGTGTTGCTATGGTCATTGAGTCTCTTTTCAGCAATAGAAACCCTGACTAATACAGCTGGAATGGTGGTGCAAAGTTTAAATCCCAGCACGTGGAGTACAGAGGCAAGCAGATCTTAGTGAGTTCAAGGCCAGCCAGTCCTCCAGGACAGCCAGGCAGTTATAGAGAGAAATCCTATCCTACAGATGAGGCTTCATAGCTGGCTCAGCTGTTTGAGCAATTGTTGCTCTTTCGGAGAACCTGAGTTCAATTTCTAGCACCTATGAGGTGGCTCACAACCATCTGTAACTGTAGTTCCATATGGGGACCTGACACCCCCTTCTGACCTCCATGGTCACCAGGCATAACTGCAGTGCACAGACACATGCAGGTAAAACATTCGTCCACAGAAAAACATTCAAAATCTCTTTAAAGGATTTTTTGTCTTTTTTTTTTTTTTTTTTTTTGAGATAAGGTTTCTCTGTTTTAACAGCCCTGACTATCTTGGAACTTGTTCTGTAGACCAGACTGGCCTCAAACTCAGAGAGCCTCCTGCCTCTCTCTGCCTCCTGAGTATGAGGATTAAAGGTGTGTGCCACCATCGCATGGCATTTAAAGTATTTTTTATTATTTTTATTTCCGTATATATTTCTGTACCCCTGTGTGAAGTGTCCATGGAAGCCAGAGGCATCCGTCCTCACTCCAGCTGGACTTTCAGGCTCTTGAGAGCTGCCTGACGTGGATGCTGAGAAATGCTTGGGTCCTGGGTAAGAACAGAACATTTCATAATTTCTAACCCATCACTTTAGCCTTATTTGTTTATTTATTTTTAATTTTGAGGCAAAGCCTCACCACGAGCCCTCGCTGTCCTGGTGTTCTCTTTGTAGAATATGCTAGTCTTGAACTTGCAGAAATCCACCAGCTTCTGTCTCTGGAGTACTGAAGTTAAAAAATATATTCCAACACACATCATCCTGTGGCTTTTTTTTGTTGTTGTTTTACAATTTGTGACAGCCAGAGCTGCAGAGATGGCTCGGTATTGAGGAGCCCTGGTTGCTTTCCACAGGACCTGGATTTGATTTCCTGAACACATGTATCAGCAACTCACAACTATCTGTATCTCCAGTTCCAGGAGATCCAACACTCTCTTCTTGCCTCCGAGGACACTGCATACACATGATATGTAGCAAACATAGAAAACACCCGTACAAGTAAAAATAAAATTATCTATCTATCTATCATCTATCTGTCTGTCTGTCTATCTATCTATCTATCTATCATCTCTCATCTATCTCTCTATCTAGCTATAGCTGGCCATAGAGGCACACACTGCTAATTCTAGTGCCGGGAGACAGACACAGGTGGGTCTCTATGGGGTTGAAGCCAGTCTGGTCTATATGATGAATTCCAGGTCAGCCAGAGCTAATTATAAGAAATATGTATCAGTCTAAGTGTTTGCCTGTGCACATGTGAATGCAGGCACCTGTGGAGTCCAGAAGAGGGCATGGGATCCATCCCTTTGAAGCTGGAATTATAGGTGATTATTGGCCAGATGATATTCAATTCTGGGAGCTGAACCCAGGTCCTCTGCTGTACATGCTCTTCACTGCTGAACCATCTCTCCAACCCCCTCTTCTGATATTTTGACTCTACATGAGTATCTAAGTCCAGGTTTGTGGTACAGACAGAACTGTATCTATCTGTAGATGAGTTCAGACACCTGCTGACTTTGGATGAATTTGGTTTCTTAGTAACCCCCTATTGCTTGTTAGGAATCTCAGTTAACCATATTTTATTCAGTAAACTGGATGTATGTCAATCATTTGTGGAGTCTCTTGGTACCATGCCAGTTCCTAGGGATACTCTGTATTTATATGTCCCTGGAAAAACCACACTCCAGCCTTAGTGTCTGAAAATGAAAACAGTCAGCTGGGTCCCAGTGCTAGGGACCTTGAACTCATGAGATGTAGCAAGAAGGAAAGATACTGTGCTTTGGGTTTCCTAAAAGTACCCTGTGCTGATCAAGGTGCTCTGCTTGTGGGGGTCAGTGTAGGTAGGTCCTAGACTCATCTGGCTGGCAAGGGCAAGAATCAGAGAGTATTTCTGGCACCTGCCTCTGCATGTTCAACAGTCTAGTTTGGGGTTGTGAGCCTAGCCTATATAATAGCTGTGGAATATTGTAGCTAGAGGTTTTATCCAGTCCCACCTGGCCCCATGGTCCCATACCTATTTATAAAATAATGACTCAGAGGCGTATATTAAATACCAACTGTATGGCTTATGGCAGTGTTCTTTTATTTATTTATTTATTTATTTATTTATTTATTTATTTATTTATTTATTTTTGGTTTTTCGAGACAGGGTTTCTCTGTGTAGCTTTGCGCCTTTCCTGGAACTCACTTGGTAGCCCAGGCTGGCCTCGAACTCACAGAGATCCGCCTGTCTCTGCCTCCCGAGTGCTGGGATTAAAGGCGTGCGCCACCACCGCCCGGCATGGCAGTGTTCTTGCTAGCTAGCTCTTTGATCTTAAATGAACCCCTTTCTCTTCATCTATGTCCGTGCCTTTACCTGTGTCCCATTACATGTCGCTCCTTGGAAGGCAGTTCGGTGTCTCCTTCCGCTTTGCTTTCTCCTCTCATTATCTCTCTTGGATATTCCTGCCTGGCTCCACCCTCCCCTGCCACAGACCAGTACAGCTTTATTACTAACCAATGGGAACAGCATATATTCACAGCATACAGAAAGACATCCCACAGCAAAACATTCCCTTACTCTGTGTGAAATATGTCACTGTGATTGGTTTAATAAAGAAGCTGACTGGCTAATAGCTGAACAAGATAAAGTTAGGCGGGAGAGCCAAACAGAATGCTAGGAAGAAGGGCGAAGTTGGAGGAGTCACCAGCAGATGCCATGCTGAGAAAAGGTACCAAGGCATGTGGCACAGCATAGATAAGAAATGTGGGTTAATTTAAATGTAAGAGACAGCTAAAAACAAGCCTGAGCTATTGCCCCAGCATTTACAATTTATATTAAGTCTCTGTGTAGGTTATTTGGGAACTGGCATGCAGGAAAGAAACATCTGCCAACAAAGAGATGAGCTAAATGTACAGCCAATAGTCTATTTTAATTTTTAATTTTCTTTATGTTTGTTTGTTATTTTGTGCTAATGAAGATCAAACCTTTGCCTATGTAATACAGGGGACCTATTCCCGAGCTCTATCTCTAGTCCTGCCTTTTGGTTTTGAATGTGTTTGTTTGTCGTCGTCGTCGTCGTCGTCGTCGTCGTTTTCAAGAGAGGGGTTTCTCTTTATAGTTTTGGTGCCTGTCTTGGATCTCGCCCTGTAGACCAGGCTGGCCTAGAACTCACAGAGATCCACCTGGCTCTGCCTCCTGAGTGCTGGGATTAAAGGCATACAACACCACTGCCCGGTGTTGTTGTTGTTGAAGGTGAGTGTGTTATTATACATCTCAGACAGTCTTTGAACCTAAGATTCCCTTGCCTCAGATACAGAAAGAGCTGGGATCCAAGTTAGTGCCACCACAAACTATTGTTCTGTTTGGTCTGTGGCTGTAGGTTTAGCTGGTATAGGTCAGTCCTCCTGTTTCTTTACAGCATGGAAAGTCCTAGGATTTGCCACATGCAACCTGGGAGGCCAGGAACCTTGTGCCAGTGTCAGTCAGTCCCATGTGAACCTAAAGGACCATGATCCAGGGGGGCCAATGATCTTCATACTGCTCCCTAGTCAGCGAGCCCAGAGGCCATGACACAAGGACATGGATGTCCAGGTTAGGAAAAGAAGACCCTTTTCTTCCTTCCAGGCCCCTGGAGGATGGGCGATCTCCAGTATTGTGCAGAGGAAGTGTCTCTCTGGATGCTAGCTCATTTTTTGGACCTTCCCAGCCACTCTAGAAACAAGGCTTTATCAGCCACCTGAGTGCACCTAGCCCAGTCGGCCCCATGTGTGACTAACCACAACACGTCTCTGGTGGGTTTTTCTCTATGTAGTCCCACTCTGCCAGTGTTTACCCCATGTCATAGAAAGTATGGGTCGTGCATGTGCCTTGGGAGATGAATTCACAGTTTCTTCTATTTGTTCATACAGCACACAGTTTGCCTTATGTCAGAGAAGAACTGCAAGACTGTCTAACGGATGTTCAGACACGTTCCTTAGCCTAAGATGTAGCCAATGGGTGGTAGGTTAAAATCAGGTTCCTGCCATAAACATGATTGATCTTAGGTAGCCCGAAGAATTGACTGTCCCCCTCTCTTAAGACCAGTGAAGGCAGGGTTGGCAATCCCCTGTCACTTTTCTACATGACAGGCTTTAGTGCTGGAATCACCTCATTAAAGAAATTGAGTCTTGCATAGACTGCATTAGGCACAGCCTCACTGATGCTTGAAATCCCCAGAATACATACTCACATACCGTGGGCATGGCTGGTCTGGGCAGGTAGAAGTTCAATGACTGTGAATTTCTCTGGGACAGTACCCAGTGTGTCCTGGACACCCACTGGCATCCTCATTCAGCTGTGCACCCCATGCATGGCTCCAGGCAGGTGACTGCCTTGCAATTGGACCAGGCTCTGAGCAGAGTCTGGAGAAACACGGGAAGGGAGGGTGACGGCTGGGAAGAGGTTGTTTTGAGCATTGTCACTTATGCTGACCTGTGACCTTTGTACCTGTCACCCTTCTGAGAGACAAAAGCTACCATTCCACAGCAACGGATGTGGCCAAGGCTAAAGGCATGGATTTGTAACTCTGTGCCCTAGACGTCCATAGTGGAGATGGCCTGAGGCTCCTCTGGTGTCTGGGGACATGTGGAGGTCCTAGGACAGGTCCTCCAGCTGCAGGTGGTACTCTCGTTACCACCCAGCTCTTTGCCCTTTGCATTGTATTCTACAGAACCTTTCTTCCTGTTCTAATCTAAATACTAAATTTATTCACTCCCTGCCCAGACTTGCCCTGCCAGCTACACTTTCTACAGCTCAGAGAACTTTGGCATGCAGGAGGCCTCCCTTCTCACCTCCAGCATAGAAAGCAAAGGGTTGAATTAAAATAAAAAGCGTCTCTGTGGAGCCAGGTGTGAGCCATGTAAGCCTTGTAATCCATGTACTGGTAGGTGGGCGTGGGGGATGGGAGGTGGGTTGGAGATGGGGGTGGAAACAGAAGGCCTAGTAAGTTCAAGACCAACGTAGTCTATATTATGGATTTGAGAGCCCAGCCTGGGTTACATAAGACGAAGAAACCCATCTCAAAACAAAAAACTAAACCAAAACAAAATACAAGGACCTCTCATAGGAGTTCTGTGACTCCAGCTCAGCCGCAATTCCCGCCTCTCGGAACCTTGCTTTGGGATACTAGGATACATCCTCAGCGATATTTGGAGACCAGCACCGAAGTCACAAGGCCCAGAAACTTGTCCAGAGAGGCGTGCATCTTTGGGCTGAAGTCTCCAGGATAATGCCGGGCAAGAGTCACCAGCAGACAGTGGTTGAAGAACTGAAGGAAGAGAGAGAACCGCCCTGCCTTTCATTTATCATCTCTCCCCAACAGACACCCAACCTGAAGGGACCCGCGTCAGCAGCAACCACAAATGCAGCTCACCTGAAAGTTAGCGGGTTCCACACGGAGCTTGTGAGCATGCAGATCGCTGAGAGCTGACAGAGAACCAGGCAGGTCGTCCAGGTGGTGGGCAGCGAGAGTCAGCGCATCGGCCACCTTTTGGCCATGGGCTTTAACCTGGCTAGAGCCGGGACTCAGGTCCATGTGCGGGAAGTAGGTTTTGGTGGAGGGGAAAGCCACGAAGGTCCTGTGGGAAGACTGAGTTGGGTGCATCCGGAACGGGAGGTATAGAGAGCCCGCCTTCGCCTCGCCGTCCATTGGAAGGTGAGCCCGAGGGCGCCAGACTGGGTCCATACCTCTCCAAGGCCTCGGTCGCGTAGATTCCAACGTTGCTGCTCATCTTCTTCCATAGCGCGAGAACCAGCGCACGGTCGCTCTGGGACAGAGCCATCTTCTCTGTGCTGTGGCTTTGCGCTCTACTTCCCGGCTGTGTACAAAGATGCTCGGAAACCCAGGGTGCCGCCAGGGGGCGCTGCAGCGTTCCAGGTCGCCTGGGTGTTCACAAATTCATGTTCAATTTGGGCTTCAACCCTTTGTCTCTCTGACCCTGAAAGCCTCAAGTTTTTAGTGTTTAGTGTATGGACAATGGTATCTAATATGTAGTACTTACCGTATTACAATGGATTTTAGTGTGCATTTTGGCACGCCGATTTATCCTGCCCTCTTAGTCCTTAGGATATTTCATAGGTGTTTCTTTCTCACTCACTATTGAAAAGGATTGCTTCTTCTTGGTTTGCCCTCCAGGAGCGCATAACCATACTTGGTTCTGTCTTATTTTTTCCTGGATCATGTCTCTTTTCATTAAATCCCACATAGTTCAATTTACATTTAAAGGAGCTGGAGAGATGGGCCTAACAATTAAGAACACTGGCTGTTTTTCCAGAGGACCTGGGTTTGATTCCCAGGACACACAAGGCAGCTCACAATATTGGTAAATCCAGGTCCAGTGGATCCAATCCTTTTCCTCCACAGTCATACAAGTGGTACACAGACACTCATGAAGTCAAAACACCAATACTATAAGATAAAATTAAAGAAATTTAAATCTACATTAAAAATCCCTTTTAAACTGGGTGTGGTGGCAGAGACACAGGTTAATCCCAGCACCCAGGACTCAGAGGCAAAGGGATCTCTGTGAGTTCAAGACCATTCGGGTCTACATAGGGAATTTCAGACCAGCCAGAGCTACACAATAAGACCCTGACTCTACCCTCCCCCCAAATCCTCATGCACACAAAACCTCTTTTAATAAATTCCATATCTGCTTCAAAAATATATTCTTTGCCAGGCAGTGGTGGCACACACCTTTAATCCCAGGACTCGGGAGGCAGAGGCAGAGGCAGGCCTTGTCTACAGAGTGAGATCCAGGACAGGCACCAAAACTACACAGAGAAACTCTGCTTTGAAAACAAAACTATATATATTCTTGGAATTATGATAATTCAGTGGATGAGAAATATTATATGCCTGGGTCCAAGGACAAGTTTCTTTGGGGAGAGTAACCTTATGGATGCCTACAATGCATTTCAATGATGATAGCAAGAAGCAGGGATGCACTTCCTTGGTGCTATGTGGCATACTACACTAAAGATTTTCTTTCTCTCTCTGTCTCTCTGTCTCTGTCTCTGTGTGTGTGTGTGTTGCGAATATGCTTTACCACCCAAGTTCTGGGATTACAGGCATATACTAGAAAGCCCTGTATAGTTTTAGCTATCTTTGATGTCTACAAATTAGTTACATTTTGTCCATTCACAATGTTATCAGAGACACTCACTTACAGAAGTTTTCCTCACCTAAATAGAGCCTCCCGTCCACTAGCCATAACTATCCAACCCACTGCCAAAGCCCCCGCCAACCTGGAGGGTGCTTACTGTCACTATAGATTTGCTCCCTTTTGATATTTTACAAACATGAAATCGTGCACTGTGTGGTCTTTGCTGTATTGGCTTCTTCCATTCAACACTTTTTTTTTTTAAAGGATCAGTCACATAGTATAAGAAATTTACTCTTTTGTGTCAATGGCTGAAGAATGGTCTATTGTGAGGGCCAAATGTAGTTCAGCTGGTAGAATGTTTTTCATTTAATATGTGCATATGTACACATGTGTATATGTGCACATGTATGTGTGTTTGTATACAATATGTGTGTATGTATGTATGCACATATCCAGCCCTGAGTTCAATTCCCAAGCACTGCACTAACTGGGCATGGAGACACATCTGAAATCTTAGCACTCAGGAGTTAGAAGCAAGAGGATCAGGAGCTCAGGGTCATCCTGGGCTACATAAATTGTTGGTGCCCAGCCTGGGCTACATGAAG